CAAGGTGTGTATTAGGACTATCTTCTCTGGTTATGGTTAGATATTTTGACCATTTCCTTACAAAACTAGCAATACATTACCGCTGAGTTGAATGGAGAGACTCGCTATGGCTGCCATGAGTCCCAAAGCTTTCATTTTTCTCATTTCCAAAGATTATTTATTTAGTTTACAATAGAGTCTTGATACTTGAATAAAAAAAAATGTGAAAGATTTTTATCTGCGGGATCTCAGGATATCTATGTACTTATGTGTCTTCACCTTTACTTTCATTAAAGCTAAGGTGTCCACAAGTGAAAAGTTACAGCAAGTATTAATGGGGTCTTTCCTTTGTTCCTGAAATGAATAACTTGAAGTCCATGTTAATATCCTCATGGGATCCCTTACAAGAAGTCAAGCAATATCCAAATTTCATTAAAAATTTGATAGTCTTTGTTCATTTGTTTTGATATATTACTGCAGTTTTGCTTTAGCTTCTCAAGTAGTTTCTTGTTTTTTTTTCTTACTTTGAGGCAGGTTCATTGAATTACAGTTTAAAAGCATTGATATTCTGCTTTTGTTTCATATTAGAAAACTCACATGATGTTGGACTCAATATGCACATGGAACAATTTATTATTCATGTTCATTGCATTCTGATATTGGGGATCTTCATGAAACTATCTGCTAGGTTAATCAAACTGTTTATACCACACAGTTGATCTTTTATATAATATATTCAGTATGTTGCAGGAATAAATACCATTGATATAATATGATTTTAATTTAGTACCTTACAGTGCAATAAATATTCAAGTTACATACATTTATCTTGTGATTTAGAGTTAATTTAGATTATAGAACTAATATAATTGACCTCAACAGTCACTTGTGAATATTATTTTCAGCTTAATACCAGCTATACAAAACATACAAAATACTTTCAAAGGTCAATAAAAATAGTAAAGTATTAATACAAATATTTACTAAAAGTGGTAAAATACACTTTCCCGTCATTGACAACTGGCCTTAAAATCACACTCATTTACTGCTATTAACCGGTTACATTGACACTTTCCAAAGACAGCTGTCAGGCATTCATTCAAAAAATAGGCCATAGATACCTGGTGTACCTATGTATGATGTGTAATACTGAAAAATTCTCTATCAGTTTTGACTAAAGAAAATTATAATTATAATAGTTATATTTGACTTTCTTTGAGAAACAATATAAATGAGTTCTAAGAACAATAGCAAAAGATTTATAATGTTCAAAACATTCAGATATAGTCTTTAGAATTAATGAATATAGTGTTACTACATATGTTTTTCATGTAAATGTCTTTTTACAGACAGACAAAAATTTATGATTATTGTTGCTTAATCTGATTCTCTAAATCGACAAATGAGATTGTGTTCTTAAAAATTATGAAATATTTTGCAAATTCAGATCTAGACAATGATTTGATTTTTTTTTCATATAATAGAAATTAGATAATTTAGGCACAACAGCAATTGTTTAAAAAAAAGAAAAAAAGGCTTTTTTTTTAAGTAATTGAAATATTGGAAGGCATAATTTGTTTTTCATAACTATGATTTATTTCTAAACAGAACCAAATTATGCTAAACTTGGAAACACATTAAAAACTGGAGAACTAGCTTAGCTTCACAGTAAAGACAAATGTGAATTCTTAACATTAAAATATTACTATGTGTATAGCATATATATATAAATATATATATATATATATATATATATATATATATATATATATATATATATATATATATATATATATATATATATATATGTGTGTGTGTGTGTGTGTGTTTGTGTGTGTATGTGTGTGTGTAACTTGATGTACAGAACTGTTTAGTAAAGTGACTGTAGAAGAAACTTCAGACTTTTTTTTATAAAATTTTATGTCAGCCCTTCACTGTGCTGGATTCTCTATGCTCCAGCAACAAAACAGGTATCTTAAGAAACGCAGCACAGAATCCAAGACGCTTTTCACCTCCTTCTCTGTCATTTCTTTCTTCTCCTGTTTCATTTTGACCATTGCCTCCAGAGACTTAACAAGGCTTTCTTGTTTTTTCTTTGCATCCTCTTCCTTGGCTTTGGCAATAGCTTCTTTCACACTGATTGACTTTGATGTTTCTAGTTCAGTTCCCTTATGAGATGAGACACTAAAGCTTTCACAACTGGTGCTGTCATCTTTTCTCGTTTCATTTTCATAGCCGTGGGTTTTATTTTCCATGTCTTTCATGAGGAGTTCCATTTCTGCATCTTCAGGTGTCACCCAGTCTTCACTAGTCTCTTGTGCACTACTCTGTTCTTCATCATTCAAGTCAACATCTGCCATATAATCCTGCTCTTCGTTGGTTAACTTGCCTTCCTTTTCTTCATCACTCTCCATGCTTATAGCTGCTGCTCTGACATTTCTCAAAAAGTCTACCTCCTTTTCTTGAATGAGTCTCTCCAATAATTCATTTGCTAAGATAGTTGTTCTGTCCTCAGTTTTATCTTGGTTTTCAGCCTTTTTGTTTCTGTCCTCTTCCATTACCTCATGTTCAGGCTCTTCCATGATGACACTCCAGATCATGTTCTTGAACATTTCCTTCTCCCTTTCAGCTATGAGATCATCACTTCTGCCAGCCATTAATTCATATCTAATCAGGTCTTCCTCCGCTTCAGAATTATCAGATTCATTTAGTTCTTCGTCAGTGTCTTCTATCATGGTTGATTTAAATTCATCATCCTTGATAACTTCCTCTTGTGTAGCTTCAGCCATGTTCAAATATCTTTCCTCAGTTTGTTCTCCTGCTGCATCATCACCTAATTCATCTTCATTTTCTACATTTCCATTGATACCTTCATGATTTTCCTTCAAATTGTTTGTAACCATTTCACTGATGTTATTTTCTGCAGCTTGGACTGTCAGTGGTGCTAATCTCTCATGTACTTCCCCATTAACAGCTTCCTCAGGAACATTTAGTTCTGTTCTAAGCTCAGCTTCTTCTTTTTCTTCAAATTCCTTTATCTCTTGGTATTCAGATTCCAGAGAGATGTCAGATTCTGTATTTTGTACTGTTTCATCAGTTACCCTAGTGTACACAATGTGTTCTATCTCATCTTCATCTTCCAGCCTGTCTTCTTTCTCGTCTACAGCCTGTTTGGCATGAGTCCTAGTATTTTCAGTTAGATAATTGCCCCAGTCATTCTTTACCTCAGCTACTGCTTCCACTGCTGGCCTTGGTGTTTTTTCAAGTTCAGAATATTTCAGACTTTCCAAAGCATCTTCCCATTCTTCATCATCTTCCATTGAGTTGTCTTCATTTGTTTCTTGTCCTCCATTTGTTTCCCCTTCAATGATTTCACTGTCCATCTTTTTACCTTGATCATAAGCTAAATGTTCTGCTTCATTTACATACTCAGTAAATTCAGTATTTTGAGCCTTTTCCACAAGAGTATTCATCAATGCCTCATCATCCTTCTTGTCACTTGTACTTGCTTCTGTCTTGTCTTCAGGAAGTTTTGCTTTGCTTCTTTCATTACCCTCTACTTTATCATCCATGCTTTCAAGTGCATCTTCTGTTTCCAGAATTTCATAAGACATGTCTTGCATTTCTTGATCAGTTTCAGTTATTTCATTTTGTGTATCCTTATCATTTTCTCCTCTAGTGGACAAGCATTTATTTTCTATCTGTTTTACATCTTCCACTGCTAAGATTTCCTTGTCAGTTAGTTTTAATTCTTCCATATCATTTGTGTATTCTGTTTTCTTTATTTCTTCCAATATTCTTCCTGCTTTAGACATATCCTCAGATATTTTGTCTGGTATTTGAACTCCACTTTCCACCACCTTGATGAGTTTGTCTACCTCTTTCAGGAGCTTTGTAGACTCATCCATCTCACTGTCTCCCTGAATCATTGAATCTGCTGTCCTCATAGTTTCCAAGTAATTTTTCAAATCCTTCATTTGATTCTTGGGCTCTTTCACTTTGCTACTTTTTTCTTCTGCTTCAATTGCACTTTCTATCAACTTCATCTTCTCTTCCATCTCTCTCATTTCCTCTTCCATCATTCGAACATCTTCCACCATCAGTCTGACATAATCATCCACCACATTTGTTCCTTCCCTTTTCAGCAATTCCTTTCTTTCATTCTTCTCAGCTTCTGCAATTTCTTCCTTTATTGATTTTATTTCCTCTGTTTTCACAGTTCTTTTGATATCTTTAATTGCCAGTTTATCATATGTTGCAATTTTTTCTTTTGTAATCTCTGGATTCACTACTTCCTGTACAATGTCCTTTCCTGATTCTTTTTCCTCATTTATAGGTATAGCACTAGCTTCTTCCATTACTTGTTTTTCCTCCTCATTACCATTCATTAGTCTTGCTTCTTCAGTTTTATTTCCATTTTTATTTAACATAGTTTCCTCAACAAGATTTGTCTCTCTTTCTATTACTTTGGCCTCCTTTTCAATAACTTCTATTTCTTTCTCTATTTCTTTGGTTTCCTCTTCTATGTCCCGGATTTCATCTTCTACTGACTTCAGCTGATTTGCCACACTACTCTTTATTTTGGTTTCTTTATAGAGAGTTTCAGTCTCAATCATTTGAGTGTTTTCTTCAGTTTTAGCTTCAATTTCCAATTCACTGAGCCTCCTGTCTTCTTCTTCTTTCTCTGCTCTTGCTAATTCATCTGCGAGACTGATTTCCTCCCTAGCCTGTGATGAGTCTTCCTCCATTACTTGCCTTTCTTCTTCAATAATTCTTGTTAATTCTTCTATCATTTCATTTGCATCATCTTCAAGCTGTACATCGTTCTCTTTTTGTAAGTGGTAGACCTGATTGTTTACTTGGGTTTCTTCTACAGCCATTTCAGTTTTCATCTCTGCTAAAGTATTTTCAATTGTTTTCTGTATATGACCATTACTAATTTCATTGTTGTAGCCTTCATCTGATTCCGTTTCCTTTTTATTGTTATTGCTTTCTGTTCCATCATTAAGTACTAGATTATCCATTGCCGCTTCTGCAATTATGATCTTTCCTGGTTCATTCTCAACAGAAGCATTATTCAGCCAACATTTTGATGCATCATTTTCAACATCTATATTACTTTCTTCTCTCTTTTCATGAGTTGTTTTTACAGAAGAGATTGTTCCAGGTCCTTCAAATAGACTATTTTCTGCTCCTGCAAAGCTTTCTTGTTCCTGAGCTGGGTTAAATTCTGCCTCCTCAGCTGAGCTGATATCAGAGTCCTCTTTTATGTTAATTGGGTCTTTCCTTGTTTTGAATTCCTCTCCTTCATCTTGGTTGCTTTTTGTTTTTTCAAATGGGCTGCTTTCTGTTTCTTGAGCTGAACTAATATTTAATTCCGTGATTGGGTTCATATCTGGTTCCTCAGCTGAGTTAATTTCTGGTTCTTCAGCTGAGCTAATATATAAGTCCTCAACTGTGCTTCTTTCTGGTTCTTCAACTCGACTGCTCTCTGCTTCTTCAAACATACTTTCTGGTTCTACTGGATTGATTTTTGGTTCTTCAATTAGAGTATATTCCGTTTTTTCAACTGGACTGTATTCAAGTTCCTCAGCTATACTGCTTCCTGATTCATCAATTTGACTACTTTCTGATTCTTCAGGAGGATTGTATTCTGACTTTTCATTTTGTCTACTCTTTGTTTCTTCAATTGGGCTGTTTTCTAGTTCTGCAACTTGGTGTTCTTCAACTTGACCGATCTCTGGTTCTTCAACTAAACTAATTTCTGGTTCTTTAACAGCATAACTTTCGTGTTCTTCATCATTGTTTACTTTTAATTCAGGCTGAATGCATACTTGTTTATCAGTGTGGTTGATTGCTGTTCCTTTGATTTGATTGCTATCTGCTGCCACTATACTGCTTTCTGTTTGTTCATTAACACTGCTTTCTGTTTTTTCAGTAGTACTGCTCTCCAGTTCTCCATATTTCTCAACTGCAGATTCTTCAACTAAGATGTTCTCAGGCCTTTCCCCCGTGCTGATTTCGTGTTCTTCAGTAATATTGCGCATTGGTTTTTCAGCAAAGATGTTCTGTGGTTTTTCTACTCTACTGATTTCTGGTTCTTCAACAGTACTGCTCCCTAGATCTTTAATTGAGGCTCTTTCTGCCTCTTCTTTGATGCTTTCTGGTTCTTCAGTTAGGACACTCTCTGATAAGTCCCCTGTGCTTATTTCTAATTTATCAGTAGAGATGGATTCCAATTCTTCATGTTTTCTCATTTCTGGCCTTTCGGTTAGGACACACTTATATTCATCCTCTATGCCGCTTTCTGGTTCTTCTTCATCTGGTCTCATTTCTGTTTTTTCCATTTTGCTGCCTTTTGGTACTTCCACTTGGGTGTGTTCTGGTTCTTCCTCTTTGCTCACTTCTGAGTATAAAACTTCAGATGTATTTGATTCTACAAGTATTTTGCATTTCTTCTCTTCAATTTTGCTAATTCTTGGTTTTGTCACTCTACTTTGTTCTACTACAGTGTTGATTTCTGTCACTTCAAATTTACGAATCATTTCTTGAACCTTTCCACTTTCTAGATCTGCGACTTTGCTTATCTCTGATTCTCCAGTTCTCTTTGCTTGCAATCTGTCAAGTTTTCTGCTTTCAAGGTCCTCAGTTTTGTCATATTGTAGGCTTTTAATTCTGCTTAATTCTACCGCTGCGTCGATTCTGGGTTTTTCAGCTGAGTGGACTACAGTTTCCGAGCTTATAGCTGGTTCTTCAGCTGCATTGATTTCTGGTTCTTCAACTGTGCTGATTTCTGATTCTGCAACTGCGCTGATTTCTGGTATTTCACCTGCACTAATTTCTGGTTCTTCATCTCCACTAATTTCTGGTTCTTCACCTACGCTGATTTCTGGTTCTTCACCTACGCTGACTTCTGGTTCTTCAGCTCCACTAATATCTGGTTCTTGGACTACGCCGATTTCTGGTTCTTCATGTGCACTGACTTCTGGTTCTTCAACTGCGCTGATTTCTGGTTCTCCAACTGCGCCGATTTCTGGTTCAACTGCGTCAATTTCTGGTTCTGCAAATGTGGTGATTTCTGGTTCAACTGTGCTGATTGCTAGCTCTTGAACTGCGATGACTTCTGGTTCTGCAACTGCTCTGATTTCTGGTTCTGAAACTGCGCTTATTTCTGGTTCTACAACTGCGCTGATTCTTGGTTCTTGAACTGCATTAATTTCTAGTTCTTGAACTGCACTGACTTCTGGTTCTGCAAATGCGCTGATTCTGGCTCTTGAACTGAAACTGCGCTGATTTCTGGTTTCTGCAAAACTGCATTAATTTCTAGTTCTTGAACTGCGCTGATTTCTGGTTCTGCAAATGCGCTGATTTCTGGTCCTTGAACTGCGTTGATTTCTGGTTCTGCGACTGCGCTGATTTCTGGTTCTGATGATTTCTGGTTCTGCAACTGCGCTGATTTCTAGTTCTTGAACTGCGCTGATTTCTGGTTCTGCAACTGCGTTGATTTCTGATTCTGCAACTGCGCTAATTTCTGGTTCTGCAAATGCGCTGATTTCTGGTTCTTGAACTGCGCTGATTTCTGGTTCTTGAACTGCGCTGATTTCTGGTTGCTGATTTCTGGTTGAACTGCGCTGATTTCTGTTCTCTGCTTGAACTGCGCTGATTTCTGGTTCTTGAACTGCGCTGATTTCTGGTTCTTGAACTGCGCTGATTTCTGGTTCTTGAACTGCGCTGATTTCTGGTTCTTGAACTGCGCTGATTTTCTGGTTCTTGAACTGCGCTGATTTCTGGTTCTGCAACTGCGCTGATTTCTGGTTCTGCAACTGCGCTGATTTCTGGTTCTTGAACAGCGCTGATTTCTGGTTCTTCAACTGCGCTGATTTCTGGTTCTTGAACTGCGCTGATCCTGCGGAACTGCGCTGATTTCTGGTTGCAACTGCGCTGATTTCTTCTGAAACTGCGCTGATTTCTGTTTGAACTGCGCTGATTTCTGGTTCTTGACTGCGCTGATTTCTGGTTCTGAACTGCGCTGATTTCTGGTTCTTGAACTGGCCGCTGATTTCTGGTTCTTGAACTACTTGAACTGCGCTGATTTCTGGTTCTGTGAACTGCGCTGATTCTGTTCTTGCAAATTTCTGGTTCTTGACTACGCTGATTTCTGGTTCATAACGGCTGATTTTCTGTTCTGGAACTGCGCTGATCTTGCTGCGCCGTTCTTGAACTGCGCTGATTTCCTGATTTCTTACTGCGCTGATTTCTGGTTCTTCGCTGATTTCTGGTTCTGAACTGCGCTGATTTCTGGTTCTTGACTGCGCCTGATTTCTGGTTCTGCAACTGCGCTGATTTCTGGTTCTGCAACTGCGCTGATTTCTGGTTCTGCAACTGCGCTGATTTCTGGTTCTTGAACTGCCTTCTTGGTTCTGCAACTGCCTAATTTCTGGTTCTATGAAACTGCGCTGATTTCTGGTTCTGAACTGCGCTGATTTTGGTTTCTGCACTGCAACTGAATTTCTGTTCTGCAAACTGCTATTTCTGGTTCTTGACTTGCGCTGACTTCTGGTTCTGCATCTGCGCTGATTTCTGGTTCTTGAACTGCGCTGATTTCTGTTCATTGAACTGCGCTGATCTTCTGTTCTTAACTGCTGATTTCTGGTTCAATCAACTGCGCTGATTTCTTGGTTCTTCAACTGCGCTGATTTCTGGTTTCTTTCAATTGCGCTGATTTCTGGTTCTTGAACTGCGCTTTCTGGTTCTTAAACTGCTGCTGGTTCTCTTGCGCTGCTGGCTTGAACTGCGAACTGCGCATTTCTGGTTCTTGAATTGCGCTGATTTCTGTTCTTTCTCGATTTCTGGTTCTTGACTGCCGCTGATTTCTGGTTCTGCACTGATTTCTGGTTCTCAATCTGCGCTGATTTCTGGTTCTGCAACTGCGCTGATTTCTGGTTCTTGAACTGCGCTGATTTCTGGTTCTTGAACTGCGCTGATTTCTGGTTCTGCAACTGCTCTTTTCTGGTTTTGCTGATTTCTAGTTCTGCAACTGCGCGATTTCTGGTTCACTGCTTTTCTGGTTCTGAAACTGGATTTCTGGCTGAACGCGCTGAATCTTCTGATTCTTGAACTGCTGCTGGTTTCTGTTTTAATTTCTGGTTCTTGAATTTATTTCTGTTTCTGCAATGCGCTAATTTCTGATTCTTAACTGCACTGATTCTGGTTCTTGAATTGCGCTATTTCTGGATCTACAACTGCGCTTGATCTTCTGTTCTGCAATTGCGCTGATTTCTGGTTCTGCAACTGGTGATCTGCAATTGCGCTATTTCTGGTTCTGCAAACTGCGCTGAATTTCTGGTTCTGCAACTGCACTGATTTCTGGTTCTGCACTGCTGATTTCTGGTTCTGTAACTGCTGATTTCTGGTTCTACAACTCGCTGATCTGGTTCTGTAACTGTTGCTGATTTCTGGTTCTACAACTGCGCTGATTCTGGTTCTTAACTGCGCTGATTTCTGTTTTACTGCGCTGATTTCTGGTTCTGAACTGCGCTGATAGTTCGCTGATTTCTTGTTCTGCAACTTGCGCTATTCTCTGGTTCTTGCAACTGCGCTGATTTTGCAACTGGCTGATTTCTGGTTCTTGCTTGATTCTGGTTCTGAACTGCGCTGATTTTTGTTCTTGCAACTGCGCTGATTTCTAGTTCTTGAAACTGCGCTAATTTCTGGTTCTTGAATTGCGCTGATTTCGGTTCTGCAAACTGCGCTGATTTCTGGTTCTTCAACGCTGATTTCTGGTTCTACAACTGTGCTGATTTCTGGTTTCTGAACTGGCTGATTCTGTTTCTGCAACTGCGCTGATTTCTGAAACTGCGCTGATTTCTGGTTCTGAACTGCGCTGATTTTGGTTTCTTGCGCTGATTTCTGGTTCTTGAACTGCGCTGATTTCTGGTTCTTGAACTGCGCTGATTTCTGGTTCTGCAACTGCGCTGATTGCTGGTTCTACAACTGCGCTAATTTCTGGTTTTGCAACTGTGCTAAGTCTTGGTTCTACAACTGTGCTGATTTCTGGTTCTTGAACTGCGCTGATTCAATGCACTGATTCCTGGTTCTGAACGTCAGGTTCTTCAACTGTGCTGATTTCTGGTTCTTGAACTGCGCTAATTTCTGTCCTTGATTTCTGTTCTGCAACTGCGCTGATTCTGCAACTGCGCTATTTCCTTGAACTGCGCTAATTTCAGGTTCTTGAACTGAGCTGATTTCTGGTTCTGCAACTGCGCTGATTTCTTGATCTTGAACTGCGCTGATTTCTGGTTCTTGAACTACGCTGATTTCTGGTTCTGCATCTGCGCTGATTTCTGGTTCTTGAACTGCGCTGATTTCTGGTTCTTCAACTGGGCAGAATTCTTCAGCTAAGTTCATATCAGGTTCAGCTATGTTGACATATGGTTCTTCAACGGCGTTGCTTTTTGGCTCTTCAAGTGAGGGGATTACCGGTTCTTCAGCTGCACGGATTGCCGGTACTTCAACAGGACTTGTTTGTTGATCTTCAGCTGCCTCGATTTCTGACTCTTCAACTCTGCTGATTTCTGGTTCTTCATGTGCACTGATTTTGATTTTTTCAACTGCTCTGATTTCTGACTGTTCATCTGTGCTGGTTTCATGGTTTTGAACTGATTGAGCTTCTGGTTCTTCAACTGATAATCTTTCTGGACATTTAACTGCCTTGATTTCTGTTTCAACTGCCTTAACTTCTACTTCTTCAACTGAGCTTATTTGTGTTGGTATACTAACTTCTGGAACCTCAACATCACTTATTTCCGTCTCTTCAACTGCTCCGGTTTCTGCTCCGTTATTAGGACTGATTTGAGGTTCAATTGCCCTAACAGGTTGTTCTTCAGACGTAAGTACTGGTACATCATCTGCCCTAATATCTAAGTCTTCAACTGCACTGATTACTGGTTCTTCTACCACCCTCATTTCTGGTTCCACGTCAGCAGCGATTTTGGGGTTTTCACCTACCCTAATTTCTGATCCTTCAACAGCCTCGATTTCTGGTGTTTCAGTTGAGCTGATTTTTGGTTCTTCAGCTTCCCTAACATTTGGTTCTTCATCTGCACTGATTTCCAAATCTTTAAATGAGCTGAATTCTGGCTCTTCAACTACTCTGCTTTCGGTTTTTTCAACTGTGCTGAACTCTGGCTCTTCAGCTTCACTAATTGACGTTTTTTCAACTGAGATGTTTTCTGGATCTTCAGCTGACCCGAGTTTTTGTTCATCTTCGATATCCTGGCTGCTATCACTGTCAATATATAATTGTTTATCTGTCTCGATTTCTTTCTCTTTACTTCTGTTAACTTCTTGCTCTTCAAAACTGACTTCTGATTCTCCCTCATTATGTTTGCTAACTCCTGCTTTGCTTATTTCTGATTCTACAATTCTGGTGCTTTCTGAGCCTTCAGCTGAGACTTCTAGTTCTCCAAATATGTTGGCGTCTTGAGCTTTACCTTTCCTTATTACTTGTTCTTTAACTGTGCTGACATCTGTCCTTTCCGTTTTGCTCATTATTGGTTCTTTGAATGTTCTGATTTCTACTTCTTCAATTTCTTCAATTATACTAATTGTTTTTCCTCCTGTGGGGATTTTCGCTTCTTCAGGTTTGAGGAGTACTGATTCTACAATTATGTTTTTTTCCGATTCTTCAACTTGACTGGTTACTGATTCTGCGATTGTGTTTATTCCCGTTTCTTGATCTGAGCCCATTTCTAGCTCTCTTACAATGCTAATTTCAGTATTTGTTCCTGTGCATATTTTTTGGTCTTCAAATTTGCTATCTCTTTCTGCTTCCTCAACTGCATTTATTTCTGGATCTCTTTGGCATGTATTTTTTACCTCTCCGTATTTGCTGATTTCTCGATTTTCCAATATGTTCAGTTTTGTTCCTCCAGATTTGATTGTTTCTCTTTCAACTGTGTTTTCTTGGTCTTGCATGAATCTGCTTGATCTTTGACTTATCATCACAGTGTTTCTGCTTTGGACAAACTCGTATTTGCTTCCTGAAATACGTTGTTTTCAGGATCTTCATCCATACTCTCTGGTTCTTCAGCCATACTACTTTCTGGTTCATCGGCCGTACTTTCTGGCTCGTCAGCCACACTACTTTCTGGTTCTTCAGCCATGCTGCTTTCTGGTTCTTCAGCCATGCTGCTTTCTGGTTCTTCAGCCATGCTGCTCTCTGGTTCGTCGGCCATGCTGCTCTCAGGCCATGCTGCTCTGCTCTCAGCTGCTGCTTTCTGGTTCCTCAGCCATGCTGCTCTCTGGTTCGTCGGCCATGCTGCTCTCAGGCTCCTCAGCCATGCTGCTTTCTGGTTCCTCAGCCATGCTGCTTTCTGGCTCGTCGGCCATGCTGCTCTCAGGCTCCTCAGCATTGCTTTCTGATTCTTCGATAATGCTGTCATCTTGTCGTCCAATCAATGGGCTTCGTCTGAATTTTTCGTCCGAACTACTCTCATGTTCTTCAGTAAATGTGCTTCCCATCCTTTCTTCAGCTGAAGTGTAATCGGTGCTTCCTGAGCTCTCTGGCTCATCATCAATCCTGATGAACTGAATTCCTCCAATCCTGACAGTCTGATGCTCTTTGAATGCAGTCGATCTGATTCTGCTGGGCTTAATGCTGTCTAGTTCCTCAGACAAAATGCTCTCTGTCCTATCTTCGGCTGAGACATAGCCTGTGCTTTCTGTACTTTCTGGTTCATCTTCGGCTTTGCTGCTGTCAGATGTGTATTCTTTCACAGTATTTAATGCCATTCCACTTATGATGCCGTCCTTTCTACTCTGAGTGGCGACGATTTTCATCATTTCACTCTCATTTGGCTCTTCATGTTCGTACACTATGACCTTATCTTTACTCTCCTCATTGGAAGTGTTTTCATTTTCACTTTCCTCTGTCTTGTCATCAGATTCAAGGTTTACTAGAGTCCATCCCGCTTCCTCTTCCGCTGTGGTGCTTCCCCCTTCTTGAACAGGGACCGACGCTTCCGAATCGTCGTTCTTCTCCGCTCCAACTTCTTCTTCCTCCAGGACACTGAAGGTCTGGCTCTCGAAGGACCTCCTCCTCTGGACCCACTCCAGGCCCCATTGACCATTGCTTTCTGCGATATCCTCGGGCTCGCTTTCCTCCCTTTGCTCAATGACGATGTCGGTCCACCCCTCACGGATCATCACCTCTTCGCTTATTACCGATTCTTCTACTTCGTCGTCATTGTCTTCTTGTTCTTGTATCACTTCGGGTTTCTTGGCGTGCGCAGGGTAATCGTCTTCGATCTCTGCTAGTGCGTCTTCGTAATCCTCCGTTGTCTCACTTCCTCCTTCCTTCGAGAAAGTAGCATGTTCCTCTCCTTTGACTGCGTGCTTATTTATGTCTTCCTTCCACGTCGCCATGTCTGCAGGTCCGTCTTCCTCTTTTAATTCTACTTCCTTATCCTCCCTGCCAGCGTAGTTCTTTTCCATCGGTTCCGTCATCTCTTTCTCAACTGCCTCGTTCAGATCTTCAATCACTTCATCGTTTTTCTTTTCTTCATCGACTGCAGCATTTTCCAAAGAGAAGCATGGCACTTCTACCTTATTTTCATAAATTGTTGTTGCATGCTCTTCCCTGGTTTCCTCTGCCATTATTTCAGCACTTCCATCAACGCTGTCATTCCCCAAGTCTACTTCCTTTAGCGCAATTTGTGGCTCTTGATTCTTCCCTTCTTCTTCTTGTTCTCCCTCTACTCCCTCCTCATCGCCTCCCTTCTTTGCACTCGGCTCTATGAAAAGCTTGGTTTCGCTGCATTCGATCGCCCCGCGCCGTTCCTCCTCCGCGTCGACGTCGTTCACGCGGATCACCAACTCGCATCTTCTCGCGCTGAAGATTTTCTCGACGACGTATCGCACTTCTTCCTGTTCGTCTGAACTCCCTACGCTTGTTTCTTTCTCTTCCTCCCCCTCTCTGACCACGACATTGTTTGCCTCTTCCGCCTCTCCTTCATCTTCCTGTCCTTCATTCTGAATTATTTCTTCCATGAGTGTTTCTTCGTTGTTCTGACTTTCATCTGATTTTTTCTTCTTACTGTTTCTAAGATTTTACTCTCTTCTCTTTTCATCAAGATTCTCATGAGTCATCCCGTTGTATTCTCTGTCTACCTTTTCCAGCTCCTCTTTTCCACGCATTATATTAAATTCTTCGTCCAGATTTACCTCTTCCATATTTTCTTCAATTACTTCATCCTCCGTCTTCATATCATTCCTTTTCTCCTGTAACCTTTCTTCATCTTCTTTCTCACTCTTTTCTTCATCTACTGCAAGCTCTGTTTCTTTCTCTTCACTTAATTCTATTTCTCCTTTCTCTTCTTTTTTCACTAAAATTCCATCATCAACTTCTTTCTTTTCATTTTCTTCACTTGCTTCTGCCTCTGTTCGTACTTCAAGTGGTATTTTTTCTTCATCGTTCGCAACTTCGCTAATTTCCTCATTGCGTTTTCCTTCCTGATCTGTTTCCTCGCCCTCTGTGGCTCTCTTTGTGAATTCAATGACCGACTCGTAAAATTCATCCTCTGATACTTCTCTATACTGAAAATTTTCTTGTTTGTCAATTTGTTCTCTTTCTACATCTCCATTTCCTTTTTCTTCTTCTGGTTTCTTTGCGTTGTTTTCATCCAAATTGTCTCCTTCACTCTGGGTCGTTTCTTCGGAGTCTTCATAAATTTTCTCGCTGCTGTCACTGCTTTCTTTTGCAGATTCTCTTTCCATTATCTGTTCACTCTCCCTTTCCTCCTCATTTCCATCCAAATCTTCAGCACTCATTCTTTCTTCTTGTTCTTCTTCAGCTACTCCTTCCTCGGATTCGCTCCCTTTCTCTTCGTTCATCTCTTTCGCGCTGTCGCTCTCATCAATTCGCATCACTCCGCTGCCATTTTCTGCGAATTCTCCCCTTGCTTCGCTCGGCTTCCTCAACACACTCTCCCACTTGCTTTGCTTCTCTCCTCCGCCCCGTGTCTTCTCGTTTTGTCTTTTTTCCTTTTCTCTCCTCCGCCCGCGGTGTCTTCTCCTTCCGTTTTGTCTTTCTCTCCTTTTCCAAGTTTTGCCTCTTTCTTGCTGCGTTTCGCTTTCTTTTCTGTTTTTGTTCTGTTCTTCCACATTTTCCCCAGACTCTTTTGTCTCACACTGGCCGTGCCCGTGACGGTCGGTGTACCATCGTTGTCGTCTTTGGTTTGTGTCTGGAAAGCGCGAGGGAAAGGAGCCTGGGTGTGAATCAGGAGAAGATTGATTACTACTGCGCGACGTGCGAGTTATGAACACTTTACTACTTTCATGTCTTGGAACATTTCTTAGTTTTTTAAAGCTGAACTAAAGATGGCGAAAGATTGATAACATTAAATGTTTTATTATTCCCTATTTAGTATACATGTATCAAGTAACTAAAGCAGACATTTGTTAACTGGAGGTTTAACTGATCACTTAAACGAGACGAATTATAATCAGTTTCATTCAAATAGTTGTTTGAACAGAGCGTACTTTATCAATAGTTTGAATTTCTTAATTCCTGTCCAGCTTTTTACAGTTGACACACTTTGAAATTAATCATACAGAATTCATTACTTGCATTTCGCAATTAATGAAAAAGTGAATCTTACAACCCTATATACCGTGACATAGTGCAATGAATCATGCAAATATTAAATCCCTACATTTTGCAATCAATCTTACGAACCCCCCCCCCAACCCTACCTCGTTGGCATCCGCCGCGTCGGGCGCGCCCTTGCGTGTGGGCCAGGTGCCAGACGGCGTAGGGTAGCTCCAGTTGGGCCACCTCTCCCACTTCGGGATCTGCGGGGAGGTGGCCCAGCTCGCCGCCACCGTCCGTTACGGCGCCGAGCTTGCGGCTGGTTTTCTTGCTTCTTGGATGGGTCGTGTGGCTCGTGCGGCGCTCGGCTTAGCGGGAGGCGCGTGTGCTGGGAAAGACACGCAGGCAATACCTGTCGCGGTGGTCGCGAGAGTTTGCCATCACGTTACGGCCGCTGCTTGGGGTGGGACCAGCTAGTGGACCAAGGCGGGGGCGCGGGGTAGAGTGTAAATTAGGGCGTGCGTCTCGTTGGGTTGGGGCGTGAGAGTGCGCGGCCCGGATCAATTCGAGCTAGTGACCAAATTATTTCATGTTGGTAATTATTGAGTACTATAATATACATTTCTAGTATTTATTATTGTATTATGATGATTGAAAATAGACAAAATACATATTATTTTTCATCAATTATAATATACACTTGATGCTAATTATTATGCCAATTCATATTATATTTTCATAATCATCAGTATAATGTATTTAACATACAACAAATAACATAAAAATGTGAATAAAAGACCAACAAACTACGCGTGACATGCAACACACTTCCCATGTTCTGCCTACAAAACCTTGCAAATCAACGGAGAAGCCCGGATGGAGAATCGGAAAGCAATGCAAAACTTCAAAAGGAGGAAAGGGCAGCGTTGATGCAGTAATTGGATAATGCCAAAGAAAGAAGCAGTGTAAATGAGAACGAAAGCAATGAGAAAGAATAACTGAGCAACGCAGAAGTATTAAGGTGTAAAAGCAGAACAGAGCAGACATGAATAGAAAATGACCAAGCACACACAAACAATGTAGTCACGGCACATTGTAATGAAATATTTGTATCTGAAATGCAAGGTAATGGCCTGCCTGACATGTCATTCAGTAGCTACCTCGAGGACATCGGGGGCTTATCCCATGAGTTTTGGTTAAAAAAAAAACATGACCTTTAAAAAGGTTGAATTGTTATCACATATTCTGGTGAGAAGTTTATACAAGCTATTGGAAACGATTACTTGTCGTTTTCCAATGTATTTTTCTCTTATGTAACGTTTTTTTTTTTTTACAATGGTTATCAGGGTTAGACAAGGACCGTGCTCATTGCGACTAGTGTAGAACGGCAAGATATGTATTTTTTGACGGTTTGAATTTTATCTTCGTTAGAAGCACGAAACCAGTCAAATGCATCTCTTGTACTGTGAAGATACTCATTATTCGTACAGTTTCAAAGATAGTCTTATTGGGCAAAATAACAAACGCAAGTTGAAAGCACAGGCAGTTGTTTTCAAGATGAATCACCTGACGTGCAGCAATAAATGCTCTTTCACTCGTCAGAATCACCTTTCGATTAATAAACACTTCCTTGCACCGAAAACGTTAATTCTAAGAATCAACAACGTCGTAAGACAATAAAAAAAGCCCACTTACCACTGATACGCAAAAAGGCAATAAATGATATTCACGTTATAATTTTTTCAGTCAAAAAATGGCACAGAAGTTTCATATCTCTGGAGTGATTCCTTTCTTTACCTCATCGAGTAGCTTTCACTCCCGAAACTTGACTACTCGCGTTTGTCGCTCTCCACGCTAAGATACGGATCTACACTCGCGTCTTCACTCTACGACTCAAGAGTGAGTCAGATTTCACGCATCTGCGCGAACCACGACGGGATTACACGATCGCAGTCAGACAACAGTGAGGAAACTTGTTTCCCGTACTATCATATGATCTACGGTTCGAGTCATGTCTAATCGGTAATATAAGGGAATAGTATATATAATAAATAAGCACAAGATGAGTGATATATGTAGTGTATGCATACTGTATATGAGTTTTTAATTGACTTTGATTTAGTATACTATCTTGTATTACTTATAGGCACTCATAAGCTGGTTTTTTAACATACTATAATTTTATATATCATTATATTATTGTGATATGATCTAACAAGTGGCTATTTAATATATGATTATGTCAACTTGTCATGAATATCATAATAATTATATAATAATATGTGATATGTAATATATTTCGTACTCTCCTCCTTCTATTTTCTCGGTGCTGTTTCTCTCCACTCTTACATCTTACGCTCTCCACCTCTTTCTCTGTGTATAGTGTGATGTACTCCAATTACTATCATAGATTTCACTAACTTACTATTCCGTATTTGTGATTACTACTTTAATTGAATATTATTGGACAAATGAACATGAGCTAGTATCTATAATATTAGATATAAGAGCCTGTCTTTGAAATTTAGTTATGCTTAAATCTGCAGAACTATATATGACGCATTGAATCAAACAAAAATTTTATAAGATATCCCCTTGCATTCTAATGAGTATCGTTTACAATATTATTATCCATTTCATATGTTTTTATAAGTAAGAATTTTTCACCGAATTACCTTTCAATAACCTCTCATTCTCTTTCTTAATTTTAATTATTCCTCTCCAATAAAGGCCATTTTTTCACCACGCCCAAAGGGGCTACGTCACTTCACTAATTAACAATATAATTCTAGTTCAACACTTACATAATAGATAACTGCTTAGCCTGATTTTAACTCTCTGAAATTAAAAATACTGCCTCATTTTCTAATATTGATGTATAATCTGTATCTTCATAACTTACGCTATATGACAAAGCACTGCACTAATTATTATCGCAGGTTAGAAGTGTTATTTCGAAGTTAAAATCATAGTAAATGACAGATAAATTTTGTAAACAGCTCATATATAATGACTATGTGTTAGCCAAATTCTGATAATACTAAGTATATTTGTATAAATTAAAATAAATACAAACGTTTCTGGGTGAAACAAGATTACTCTACAGACCTTTACTTATCTACCAGCTAGACCACCTTCTGAAAATACAATATATCAAGGGAAACTACTGATAATTAAGCTTATAGTTTAGTATATATATAATATATGTCTACGACACATACTACTCGACACTTCTGAAATTGGCATATATCTAATTCCTTGATAAATCAATAATCGAAATAAAATACTCAATCTCATTACCTCATAATACATAATTATCCCTCATATATCCATATGAAACAAGTATATCCACGTATAGAACCAATGGTGTCAAAGAATGTATAGCAGTAAGTGACTATCAGCTGCTCATATGATCTGGTGCCTATATCCTTACTGAGATAGTGAATTTGTCATGTAATTGAGCTACCCACATAGTGATATACCTTGTTAGTACTGGAGACCACCGGTATAAGCTAATATAGTAGTTCCTCCGCGTAGAGCTGCTGTTTGCTTTCTAATTTCAGTGTTCATGATTTAGCGCATCAGCTCTCGCCCAGAACACTTTCTCTGATTAAACTCACGCCTATAATAATATATAGTGTCAGCTCATTTCTGTTGATATGTGATTCATGTGAGTTGAACTGTATTATGACTTTATCATTATACCATTAAACTAATTATTACATTAACTGGCAGAGCTTGGTATTTGCTCCACCATAACAGCATCCATAGTTATATTCACATAATATATATTATAACTAGTTAAGATTAGTGAGCTATACCCTTTTACCATGAGGTGGTCGAAACTATTGTGGTGTATCAGATTCTGCGAGTTTATCAGAAATTATACTATATCGCCATATCATAATTCTGTAATAAATAACTAGCATATATTAAGGTATATAGTAGTATATATATGATATATATTATATATATATTATCATATTATAGGTATGTCATTTATGCTATAATTGCACCTACGCATGCTATATCTGCATCTACATTTAAAGGCATATCTAAATCTAAATAATTCCTGTACAATATGTATGTGTAATCCCACCCAAACACATATAATAGTTATTGTGATTGCATGGTGGATATATCTATTAGTTTGTAACTCTGTACATTGTATATGTATACTTACATATACATACATACATATAAACACACACGCAAACACACACACACACACACACACACACACACACACACACACACACACACACACACATATATATATATATATATATATATATATATATATATATATATATATATATATATATATATATATATATATATCTGTGTGTGAGAGAGAGTGCTTTTTGCGTGTGTGTGTGTGTGTGTGTGTGTGTGTGTGTGTGTGTGTGTGTGTGTGTGTGTGTGTGTGTGT